CATTGTTTAAGTTATTAAATAATGTTTTAATAATAATAAAAGGTGGCGAGACATATAAGACCATTTGGGGAGCTCCCCCAGTAGCACAGCGGCATGTCTGCGAACTTACAACGCTAGAAACCGGGTTTCGATACCCGTGGTGGGCAGAGCACAGATAGCCTATTGTGTAGCTTTGCATAACTTCAAATAAACAAATAAAGCCATTTGGGGAAATATTATTTCCAACATAATCCAGCAAATTTCCTTGTAGTATTTTCATATTACTGTTGGTTTCCAAGGTAACTAAAAGAAATATTTAAAGAAACAAAATCTGGATTCCTGGTAATCCTATCGGTTCCATTTGGTTTGAAGTTACACAATAGTTATATGAGAGTTAAAATTTGTTTTACAATGGCACCATTACAGAAAGAAAACTTCTAGTTTCCATTTTATTTAATTGAGTTTTTCTTTACAAGTAAGGCATACGTATAGGAAATATCATTAATTATTTCATCAATAAACTCGAGAAAAAAGTTGTGGATGAAAACAGTCGTTCTTGTAACCTTTTCACTTCTGTAGTTTGAGCAAAAAATATTTAAATATCATTTTGTCTACATAAGTACATAAATGTCTTTAGCAGATGATAATTTTTAATAATGTGTATATCTTTTAATGATTGTATTAAGATTGTTTGAAGTTAAGCACAAAGCCAAACAATGGGCTACATATTCTCTGCCTCGTGTCATCTTTCGGCGCAATTTTTTAATAAATTTGTTCCGTAATAAATGTTCATACTCCTATACTAACTAGCAAAATTATATGTTGTATGGTACTCCCGCCTATACGTTTATAACCAAACATATTTTACTTAAACTCTAAATATATGTGTAGGTCTTAGAAACACGGTAAATATTTGAATTACAATAATTAACAGTCATAATAAAATGAATAACAACTTCCCGCCGTTACCGATGTACCTAGTACTAATGTTCATTGTCGTTTTCATGAATTTTCTCGAAGAGTTTTATCAAGCGTTCATTTTCATCTTTAAAAAAGTAATCTTCAAACTGTCTTTTTATTACGTCTACCTTAGTTTCTCACCCCGCACCTGAAGAAAAAAGTACTCTAAAAAACTTTTAGGCACGTATTACCCGCACTCATGTATACCCCCCAAGCCAGCGACGCAGACAAATTTTGGAAGACAAGAAAAATGGAAGAATCCTTTTACATTACGGTAACCCAATAAAACCTTCACTAAACAGAGATCCCGGAAGTGCAAAAGTACTGTTATTAAAGATATTATGATTAAACTTACAAAACAGTTTGTATCTCGTTGATAATTTAACCCAATCCCCTGTGGTTATGTAACAATCACAGGTTAAAGGTTATAGTGACGCTATGGGGCACACCGAAAGTGAAACCTACTCATCTTGGAATACGTGAGCAACTAATTAAGTCAAAATTGTAATCTGTTTGAATACTGATAAATACAGTCAAAGGTATTCGTACTTATACTTTGTCCTTTGACCAGAGAATATTGCTAACAGACGTCATTATCTGCCGATTGATGAATCGCTCCACGTGTTAAAGAAGAACAACATAAACGAATATTCGGAATAGAAAGTTGTCGATTTTAGTCTTAAAAACAACAAAAAATGCCGTATTACCCGCACACGAGTTGAAACCCTGCAGTTAGCATTTTTGAAAACTAATTTCACATATAACCCGCGGGTTATTTGGGTAAAATGCGGTACGTATAATACGTATTAAAATAATTTTACCTTAACCGAACTCGTTTTTCTGAGATTATTTGTAATTTATTTTATCGTAAATAAAGTAGTTAAAAAATTAAAACTTAATAAGCTTAATTTCAACGTTTACAAGGGGTGTTTTACTATTTTTGGTGCATAATACCAAAAGCGACACCTTAAGGAAACAACTAAATCGGATTCACTTTATTTTTTCATAAATGAATACAAATATTTAGAGAAACAGGCAAGAAAATAACTTAATAAATCGCTATTAAGTGAATTCAATCATTTTTTTAAAAGAATATTTCACGAAAATAATAGCAATGAGAAAGCTAATACCCAACTTCTTTCCTATAGCAGAAACACTTTGACACATAAGCACATGTAACAATAGGTATTGAATATATACCCATAACAAAACAGAATTCTGAAGCACTAATTTTTCAGAATTTTTTTGTGAAATGGTGAAACATTAAAAAAAAATGTTTCTTTGTTTGTTTTAGAATTTTAGCACGAAAATACACCAAGGACTATTATGGACATAGCAACCATAGTCTGATAGACTAGAGGGAAGGCAGTAACATATCATCCCTAATCTGATAGACTAAATGAAAGGCAGCTGTTCAACAGCATCTACTGCTAACTTTTGAACTACTGTTTATTGCCTGACCGAGTAGTGAGATTTGACTGTTACTCTTATAGTGCATATGTTCGACCCCACACTTATACACACACATTGTGAACTTCTAGTTCCTTTAACAACCGAGCTTAGAATGTATAGCAGTTGGAAAGACCCGAATACATGGGAACGTCAACACCTGCAGTCTTAATTACTGCGTAGTATCAAAGTTTTCGTTATGAGCTTGTAAGTAAGTGTATATGCGTGAGTGTGTGTGTTATATTTTCACCTGATATTTATATCATGTAAACAGTGTTTCATAAACGGACAAAGAAATGTTACGAGTAGAAACAAAACTGACAAACAATGACACTGAAATTTTGCTAGAACTCCAGAACATTCTTTTAAAGATTGACAAACAGGTCAACAGAAATATGTATTTGCTTTGTTTATGTTTTATGGCGTATCTTAAATACGGTTTGGTGTCTTGCAGGCCGAACTAATGATGATAAATTAACACAACATCATGAAGAACAACAAGAGTCTGAGAGTTTCCTGGAGCGTTAGTTATCTCAGTATAACAGTTCATGGTTGTCTTCGTGTTCAACTTCTAACCATACAGAACAATCACTTGTAATCAAACACCTTTGAAGTTGTCATTTATTTACATAATTTTTAATCAATTTCTTGTTCGTATTTCAACACCTTTTATACCGTAGTATATACAGTTTGTGCTTTATGTTTAGAGTTTTGGAAAGTATAATTCAATAATGTAGAAATGTATTTTTGTTTTCGTTTTTAACATGCATTACGTTGCTGTTGCCTAGTAACATGGTAACTGTTTTTAGATATAGAGAATGAAGGAGACGATGCTGCCACAGATGGACAAGTAACACAGCTGTTTGAGGCAGAAAAGGTTGAAGGAGAGGTACGTTTTTATTATTACAAAGAATTCATATTTAGTCAAGAATGGTATTATAAGTACTCAGGTTTTCTCCTGTTATGTGTAGTAGTTATGACGTTTCGCGAACAGAGTAGTATACTCTGTTTTCTTTCTGGACGCTTCATTGTTTTGATTTAAACCGATCTCAACTACCACTTGCTGATGCACTGTTTAGTACGCAAACTCACAAACTTATTATTTATTAACATTAGCATGAAGTAAATCAATCTTGTGAAAATACAAAATAATTCAGTGAGGACAAACTCTGTATATAAGGTGGTACGGAGACTTCTGCATGCTTCACAGGCTTGTTTTGGATAAGTTTTATTTTTCTTTAGAAGCTCAGCAGGAATGAAATACTTAACTTAGTCACGTAGACAAAACTGATAATTAACATCAAAGCGAGAAGCATAGTAATACGTGTTATACTAGTCGAATCGAACATAGCGCTGTTTTTAAAAGTTATTATATATAAACACATATATTTTCTGTAACGCTTAAATGTGTTTTAGCGTTCACAGAACTATTTTTTCTCAAAGCCAAGTGCGAATACGATTTCACTGTATTTATGTTCATTAGAAGGTGCTCCCCAGTGGCACAGCGGTATGTCTGCGGACTTACATCGCTAGAAACTGAGTTTCGATACCCGTGGTAAAATACAGTAAATGTTATTTCATACTATGATCAGAATAACGTCAATGCGGGTC